AATCATTAATTTACCCACTTGATTGTGACTCTTACTGCACACAGTGGAAATTTAGATATTTGTATCTGTAGATCAGTGGTTCCCAACTTTTAGTCCTTCAGGTGTTTTGGGGCTTTAGTTCCCACAATTCTTAGTAACTGGTAAACTGGCAGGGATTTCTGGGAGTTGAAGTCCAAAACAACCGGAAGACCAAAGGTTGAGAATCACTGATGTTGATAATAATTTTATTTTACCAACTCATGAAGAATAACTTTATAGAATATTTTTAAAAGGCTACATAGTGATCAAAGTGCTCTGAATAAAATATATCCTTTACACTATATACGAGAAGCATGGTCCTACTTCTACTGTGTAGATGTCTACTCAAAAGTAAGAATGAGTTCAGTGTGACTTAATCCTATAGAAGAAAGTATAAAGACACATTCTTAAATTTCCGCAAATTTAAGAATGATGTTCTTTTCTTGCACACTGTTTACCAGTCTGAATTCAACAGCCAAGGACCTTCCATTGAACAAAGTCACAACTTCATTCTGTGTGGTTTGTTGCAATAGCCCTTTCATGTGTAACAGTTGACTTTCGACCTCTTGCTCATCTTCTGAGGTCATATATCAATAATCGGAGATCTCTGAGTGAAATTTACTGTTTGAACACCAGCAAGGTGCAAAACACTGTTAATGGGTATATGATCCAACCTGTTCTTATCCAAATGCACAAAGTGGACTTGATTACCTGGAAGAAATGACAAAACAACACCATTAATGCCTGTCTCTGCTAAATATTGCTTCATCATTATGATGGCATTTCAGTCATTGTGTTCAAGTTTTCTGAGTGCTGCATTTGGACTTGGGAGAGGTTGGCTCACACTCTACATCAGCCACAGATTTATTACATTGTTTTCCAGATACAAACACTTTATGTATCAAGCAAAGCGATTCAACAATATACGTAGGAGAGGGAGATATACATTTTTGATATTACGTTGCAACAGCCCAGCCTGTCCTATATTCCAGGATTTCTCAAGCAGGGTTCTCTGGAAGCCTTGGGTTCCTTGAGTGGTCATTAGGGCGTGGTGATGCAACAGGTTAAACCATTGAACTGTTGAATCTGCTGACCTAAAGATTAACAGTTCAAAGATGTGGGTCAGGTGAGCTCCTGCTGTTAGCCCTAGCTCCTGCCAACCTAGCAGTTTGAAAACATACAAATGTGAGTAGATCAATAGATACTGCTTCGGCAGGAAGATAATAAAAGTGCCCATGCAGCAGTGCTGGCGACATGACCAGGAGGTTTTCTATGGATAATAGGCTCCTCAGCTTCGAAATGGAACAAGAGCACTTCCCATGGCCAGAGTTGAGCACTGCCTCCAGAAAGCTGGAGATGAATGGGGAAGCCTTTATCTTGTTCTGTGTATTTGTGTGTCATTGTTATACCATTGTATTAAAGGCATTGAATGCTTGCCTATCTGTGTATGTTGTCATCCGCTCTGAGTCCCCTTTGGGAGATAGAGTGGAATATAAATGAAGTGTTGTTGTGGTTTTTGTTGTTATTATTATTGGCATTTTGTGAAATACTTTTTAAAAAATTGACTTACAAATATATTTTCCCCATATAAACATCTTTAGAAGTGGGATGTGTCTTACAGGTGTGTGTGTGTATGTGTATGTGTGTGTGTGTGTCTACATACATACTTTTTTGATTGATGGTACTAAAATTAGCATTCATCTTAGAATCAGTGGTGTCTTGGAATTGAAGAAATGCAGTAATTACTTTCATGTAAGGGTTCACTGAGACTGATATTTTTTACACAAATATTATCTGACAACTATAAACTATTTCAAGGGTTCCTCCAGATCAGAAAGGCTGAGAAAGGATTGTACTCATTTATACATCCAGGCTTGGAGGAGAGAAAGCACAGAATATGAGGGAGAAACTCTTAAAGGTGTAAAATAGCAAATTTATCTGGTATATATGAAAATGCCACCAAACTGTACCAAACTAGAGCTGTAGCAACAATATGTCTAACTACTGCCCACATATTACTCATAAACAGAGGAGCTAGGACAATGGGCATCTGCCTTCACTACATTTCCCTGCACAACCCACAAATTCTTCCAAGTTGTACAAGGAAAATAATCAAGTAGGAGGTTTCTTCTCTTCTTAGTTGGCAAAAATGCAGATTGCCCAGTTTTTGTTAGCATACAACATCTTTCCACAGATAGTCTCCAATTATAATTGGATGAGAGAAGATATCAGGTAACATAACCAAACATAAAGTTAATTTTTAAGGAACATCTTACCTGGACCTAAAATCAAAGTACCTCCTTGCTGTGTGGGGTCTCCTTGAAAATCAAATGCAGGGCTAAACACCGCTCTCCATATACTCTTAATGTGTCCTGACAGAATGTTGGATTTAACATGTGGGCTCTTAACTGAAATAGTATGATACACAAAAGGAAGCATATTAGGCATGAAAACCTATGCTTGTTGGTTAAAAAGCACATTAAAGCTGAACTTTCCTGCATAGCTACTTGCATGTTGAAACTGAAAAGTAAATGTACTAAGTTATTTCAATATTCAAATCCAGACCTCGTGGAACATTTTCATATGTTTTGGCACTAAATGACAATGTATTGAAAATGGGAATATGTGATCATGTTTGGCTACCAAGTTAGTATTGATGTGAGATGTTAACTATTCTTCTTACTCCTAATAACTGAGAACAAGGAGAAGAAAAGAGATTTGTGGAAAAGATAGTGGATGTAGTCAGCATTAAGATAAAGTGTGATGTCAGATATGCAATGGCAAAAGAAGAAAAAATAAATGGAGAAAATAACAGGCAAAAAAGAAAATAACAAAAAATGATAGTACAGGTAGTCCACAGGTTACAGACAAGGTAGGTTTTGTAGGTTTGTTCTTAAGTTGAATTTGTATGTAAGTTGAATTTGTATGTAAATCAGAATAGGTACATTTTTAAAGGGTAACTCCAGCCAAAAACATGTATATACTAGTTTTGAATAGCACAGGGAAGCATGAACACTACTGTCTATGCCCCTGTTCAGAAGATTTTCCCTCATTTTCTGTCACTGTGAGAATTGAATTTTGAAAAAAATTGCTTGTTGTGGAAACAAGGTGACAAAGCTTCAGTGGAGACATCTTTTTCCCATGATAGCTCTTTCGGGAGTGAATTTTCCTTCCTAGGGGTAGATTTCTCTCACTTCCTGTTGTCTCACCTCGGTTCTTAAATATGAGTTGCATGTAAGTTGAATGTCTGTCTCAGGGATTGTTGGAAATTAAACCCCCCTTCAAACCTCCTCTAGTAATTTGTTTCTATATAATTCTGTTGCTTACTTATTGTATGTATGTTCTGTATACAGCTTTCTTTCCTTGCTCTATGTTTTCTGAGAAGTTGTGGGAGGGGCTGCAGACCACATGATCTGCTCAGAGATTCCATTAAAGTACAGACTCTATCAGACTGTATTAGACTTTGAGACTGCCCAGACCAACATTTGACTGCTGTTGATTGTAAGAAAGATGCCCTGTGCCATCTGTACACAGAGAACTATTTCAAACATGTCTGCAACTGGTATAAGTTATGTACCTGTGTATGCTGAACACATGAAATTGTGAGAGAACTAAATAGGTTCATTGCTGTCTTTGATATTTACAGTGATGAAGCATCATCTACCTGGAGTATCGGCTGTCTCCCCGTTTTTCATGCCAAGTATTTTATAAATTTCTCTTGCTGGATCCACATATATTTCATGAGAATAACCAGTCAATTGGCAAAATGGCTGCAAGAGACACAGAAACACATAATGGTATAATATGTTGCAAGCTTTCTAGAAAAAAGGCTGCAGCTGAAAGCATGCTTTGCATGGAATAAGTGCTACATGTTTAGGATGCATCTTGTGGTTGGTTGGTTTGTGTGTTTGGTTGCATACTGCAAGTTGCTTCTGGTGTGAGAAATCAGGTGTCTAGAAAGATATTGCCCAGGGGACACCCGGATGTGTTACGATTCTGCAGGGAGGCTTCTCTCATGTCCCACTGGAGCACTGCAGCACACCAAAATAGCCGGGAGTTACACTGGACTGTTCTGACTTACTAGAAGCACTGCTTGACTATCAAGCAAAAATTGGGTGCTAGAAATAATATACAAAAGCTGACTGGCACAACCTGGGGATCACAACCAGACACAGTGATGACATCTGTCCTTGCTCTTTGCTACTCTGCTGCTGAATATGCATGCCCAGTGTGGAACACATCTCACCACATTAAAACTGTGGATGTGGATCTTAATGAGACATGCCACATTATCACAGGATGTCTATGCCCCACATCACTGGAGAAATTATACTGTTTAGCCAGTATTGCACCACCTGACATCCGCCGGGAAGTAGCAGCCAATAATGAAAGGACCAAGACAGTGACATCTCCGGCCCATCCCCTTTTTGGATATCAGCCAGCATGCCAATGCCTTAAATCAAGAAATAGCTTCCTAAGATCTACTGAGATACTCTCAGGAACACCTCAGCAAGCGATAGTCCAAAAGTGGTAGGATAAAAGTAAGAACCTCAGTCCATGGCTGATACCCAATGAGAGACTCCCTTCTGGGCACACAGAAGACTGGGCAACTTGGAAGGCACTGAACAGATTGGGCTCTGGCACCACAAGATACAGAACCAGTCTTATGAAATGGGGCTACAAAATGGAGTTCATGACATGCGAGTGTGGAGAAGGGCAGACTATAGACCATGTATTACAATGCAGTCTGAGCCCTGCTACATGCACAATGGAGGACCTTCTTATAGCAACACCAGAGGCACTCCAAGTGGCCATCTATTGGTCAAAGGACATTTAGTGTAATGCTAAGTTTTTAACTTTGTTTGTGTTTTTAAATACATTACAACAGTACCCCCAATTTGCTTCTGACACTATAAATAGAAAAGCTTGTGCTTATAGTCCTAAACTTAACATGGCTGAAACCAAGTCTTATTAAAATGATTGGGGTAGTTTTCAGCCAGATATATTTAAGATGAGAAGTATTCCAAAACTGCTTTTAAGATGTAGCAGTCCTCAGAGATTCAAAGTCAGTATTCAACTAATATTCAGAAATGATTCTGATCTGATCTGTTCTTGTTAACATTTTTTTCTATATCTTTCTATTCATTTCTTTATTTAAGTTACACTGCTATATGAACTGCTGGGAATAAGTCCTACTGACTTGTACTTACCTCTGATTATACATGGAACACGCCGTTATCCATAAAATACCTCTACCATCTTTCTGCCAAAATTATCAGTATAATCTGCCCATATGATGCAGTAGGCAGATAACAAAAATAAAAGTCTTATGCCCCCGGTGACACAGTGGGTTAAACTGCTGAGCTGCTGAACTTGCTGACTGAAAGGTCGCCGGCTGAAATCTGGGGAGCACTGTGAGCTACTGCTGTTAGCCACAGCTTCTGCTAACCTAGCAGCACTCCATGCAGTCATGCTGGCTACATGACCTTGGAAGTGTCTACGGACAATGCTGGCTCTTCAGCTTAGAAATAGAGATGAGCACCAACCCCCAGAGTCGGACATGAATGGACTTAAAGGGGAAAACCTTTACCTTTACTATGCCACATAAAACTGTTATTCTTTGCCATGGGACTCCTTGTTGCTCTTGCTGCAACAAATTAACACAGCAACTTGAGCCCAAGAAATTAGTGTCATTCAAAAACAGACTCCTGGGTAAGTAGGGCTCGTCACATTAGAACATGGATCCACTTTAAATCAGGTTTCTACCTCCTAATGAATTCTGGGGTTTGTAGTTTAGTGAGACCCAGGACTGTCTGGCTGAACAATTGAAAGCCCCCTCTCTAAACTTCAAGCCCCAGAATCCTGCAGGAGACAGAAACTGGATTTAAAGTGGATCCATGCTTTAGTGTGATAAGATCTATAGCAGGGGTCTTCAAACTAAGGCCCGGGGGCTGGATGCGGCCCTCCAAGGTAATTTACCCGGCCCTCACTCAGGGTCAACCTAAGTCTGAAATGACTTGAAAGCACACAACAGCAACAACAATCCTATCTCATCAGCCAAGAGCAGGCCCACACTTCCCATTGACATATTAATAAGTTTATATTTGTTGAAAGTGTTCTTCATTTTAATTATTGTATTGTTTTTAAGTGTCTTTTGCACTATAAATAAGATATGTGCAGTGTTCATAAGAATTCATTCATGTTTTTTTTCAAATTATAATCTGGCCCTCCAACAGTTTGAGGGACTGTGACCTGGCCCTATGTTTAAAAAGTTTGAGGACCCCTGATCTATAGTCTAGGATTTCCATCTCAGTCAGAAAAATAGCAATAATAAAAACAGAGAAGCAGGAAAACACCCCTTCATCAAATGAAAACAGTCAGTAAAAACAATTGCAATATCAGCAAAAGGTTAGCAAAGACTTTGCAGATATTAAAAACTATTTACCCCCCTCCCCCATTTCTGAATGGACTTCAACTCTAACATTTACATTCTATAAATTATTTTATTTTACATTACATTACAAACTTTTACTCACTTTAATATGGTCAGGTGACGATTGCCCAATAATTACAAGTCTGACATTTGCATCCTAAAGCAAAAGAAAGCAAAGAATAGATAAGGAATGAACATATCAGAGGCATTACAAACCCTTTGAGCCTGATCACATCAACACAAGTGCTATAATTGGACCTAACCATCATTGTGGCCTTCTTTATGGCAAAACAAGATGAGATGCTAGCAAATTATAACAAAATTCCAATACTGCTGATGGTGAATGTATCAGCCCAGCCTGTCCTATATTCTGCTTAGGGTGATTGTAGGTCCACTTCTATATTGTTATTAATTCTTTTCTATATTAATTGGTTATCATGGAAATAGGTAATGTGCATCTGTCAAATGATAAGCTTTGGTGGATTATACCAAACCATCAATATGTTCAGTTTGACCCCGATAGTAGATTTCATGTTAGATTCCAAAGATAAGCCAAGTTTAACAGGAAGAGGCTATCAGCAGAAAGCTGGCTACCAAGTAAGGAAATGGCCACAATTATAAACACCTCCCCTAGATGATTGGGATGGGGAAGGGACAATTTCCCTAGGTCATAGGATGTCCTGCTGAGTTTGAGTGCATCTATGCTAATGATAACATAGTTTGTGCACATTCAGATGAAGATCTACAAGCCACTGTAAATACCTTGCAGAAGCATATGAGAAGTCTTGGCCTCTCATTGAACATTGAGAAAACCAAAGTACTCTTCCAGCAGTCACCAGCCAATCCTTCTTCAATGCTAGAAAAAAAGCTTAATGGTGTAATGTTAGAAAATGTTGACCATTTCTGCTACCTTGGCAGCCACCTCTCCACAAAAGTCAACATTGACACTGAAATACACCACCGCCTGAACTCTGCAAGTGCAGCATTTTTCTGAATGGAGCAGAGGCTGTTTGTGGATCAGGACATTGTTTATAAAGCTATGGTCCTCCCAACACTGCTATAAGCCTGCAAAACGTGGACTGTTTACAGATGTCACACTCAACTCCTGGAATGATTCCATCAGCGTTGCCTCCAGAAAATCCTGAAAATCTCTTGGGAAGACAGGCAGACAAATGTCAGCATGCAGGAAAGAAGCAAAGGCCATTAGCACTTAAGCGATGCTCCTATGCCATCAACTTCACTGGACTGGCCACATTGTCCGAATGCCCAATCACCATCTCCCAAAGTAGTTACTATACTCCCAACTCAAGAATGGAAAATGGAATGTTGGTGGGCAGGAAAAGAGATTTAAAGATGGGCTTAAAGCTAACCTTAAAAACTGTGGCATAAGAAAACAAGAACTGGGAAGCCCTGGTCCTTGAGCGCTGTAGCTGGATGTCAGCTGTGACCAGCAGCTACAGAACTGTGGAATTCGAAGGGGCATAAGGAGAAGGCAAAAGGAAGAAACGTGACAAGAGGAAGGCATGTCAAGTCAACCCTGACCGGGACTACCTTCCATGTGGAAACTGATGTCTTCACTATGGAAGGACATGTGGGTCAAAAATAGGGCTCTACAGTCACCTACGTACCCACCGCCAAGGCACTACACTTGGAAGGCCATCATACTCGAACAACGAGGGATCACCTATACTAAAAAATATCATAGAACTAATGTAGTGTGATACCACTACTGACATGGCTCGATGCTATGGAATAATTATGTCTTTTGCCTTCTCTATCAAAGACTGTTGATGCCACATCAAACTACAACTCCGAGGATTCTCTATCATAGGGCCATGGCAGTTAAAGTGGTGTCAAGATCCATTACAGTAGAGCCCCACTTATCCAACATAAAAGGGCCGGCAGAATGTTGGATAAGCGAAAATGTTGGATAATAAGGAGAGATTAAGGAAAAGCCTATTAAATATGAAATTACATTATGATTTTACAAATTAAGCACCAAAACATAATGTTTTACACAAACTGACATAAAAAGCAGTTCAATACAAAATAATGTTATGTAGTAATTACTGCTTTTTCGAATTTAGCATCAAAACATCACAATTTATTGAAACAGCTGTGGTTCCAGGCAGGAGGGAGACTGCATTGGATAATACAGAATGCTGGATGAGCGAAGGTAGGATAAGCAAGACTGTTATTCCTAAAGCTTGGTAACTGCTTGGAAAACATTCAGTTTCGTCACTTGTTCTTTCGATATATACTCCACTTAAGAGGCAAGTAAGGCAACTCTTGGGGAAGCTGTTGAGCAGAACAGTGTCCAGACTCTAAATGCACCTCCTAGTGAGTTGTGATCTGTCCTGTTTTTTCTTTTGGCTTACATCCATTAGACACTGTCTTGTTCCTCTCTGTGTGTGTGCATGTGTAAAACGCACAATGCATTTTAGCAATTCTCTAACTGAACAATAATATAAAGTAACAGATGTTCCTGCCAGACTAAAAGGAATTACTGATTGACCGGATGTTACATTTGTAAACCTCTAGTATCTAAGGGATGTTCAATTAACATCTAATATTAAAAGAAAGTCAAAGGGCACACATAGAACAAATTCACAGCATGCATTTAAAAGTAAGAGCAGAAATATTCCAGAGACCAGAAATAGCAGTTAATATTCCTTTGTCATACTTTGAAATATTAGGCTTAAAAAAACTTACTTCTAAAAATTTCTTGGGAATTTTGGCCAGATCCTCCACATACTCCTTACAAGTATAACACAAGAAATGCTGAAAAATGAAAATTAGAAATGCCAGATTATTTATTTATTTATGACATTTATATGCTGCCCTTCTCACCCCGAAGCGGACTCAGAGCAGCTTACAAGGTATATATTACATACAATATATTATATTATTAGCATAGTACAATATCAGCATTAAACATTGCTATATTGCACCATACCACTATATCGTAATATTATTACTAATATTACATGTAATATAAATATATAATTATAATATCATATTATTATTATATTATATTGCATTACAGTATATACATTATATGCACTGCCACAAAATTATGTGATTATTAGAAAGAAACCCGGACTCAGGAGGAAGAAAGAAAGAAACCCATTATTCAAAGTTCAGCAGTGGAACTGAGGCCCCTTCTACACTGCCCTTTATCCCAGGATCTGATCCCAGATTATCTGGAATTAGAGATTCATATAATCCAGTTTAAAGCAGATAACCTGGGATCAGATCCTGGGATAAAGGGCAGTGTAGAAGAGGCTTCACTGCCTCGGAGTGTGGTGGAGGCTACTTCTTTGGAGGCTTTTAAACAGAGGCTAGATGGCCATCTGCCAGGGGTGCTTTGATTGTGCTTTTCCTGCACAGCAGGGGGTTGGATTGGATGCCACATGTGGTCTCTTCCAACTCTATGATTCCATGAAAGCAAATGAAGTACAAGGAGGAGATAGATAAGAACGCTGGGTTAAATCAATCCAGAGAGCTCATAAAACTCTTTGTGCTGGAGTTCACAACTGGAGGTCTGGATACATTGCATTTATTTTAATGGCTTGAGACCACACACACACTCAAGCCATCAGAAATCAACAAAAGGACAAAAAAGATATTGTATTCTCTCTCCATGTCTGGTTGTCTGAAGATTAAGAGCATGTATTTGGTGTGAATAGAGTATACAATCCAGAAAGAAGAGCTTTTAAGAGCAGGCCATACTATTTAAATCCTATTATTTTAAACTGCCTTTTAATAGTTTAATTATATGGAGGTTGTAATGGTTAGTAATACTATTTTATTGTCGGTATTTTGAATGTTTATTAGATTGTACAGTACAATTCTTGTATCAACTCCAAGTTACATGCCTCGTGAATACCTGTGTGTGTGTGTGTGTGTGTGTGTGTGTTATGTTGTGGAGTGTGGGTAAGTGAAACTGTGTATATCAAATCCATAGTTAAGGTGGGGTCGTGATGTAGTTATTTTAATTTGTAAACTGTTGACATTCTCAGTTTTGGGCAAAAGGCAGAGTACATATAAAGATTATGAAGATGGTCATGGTGATGGTCGCAGCGACAGCAGGCCAGCACCGCTTCTGAGGCCCCTTCTACACTGCCATACAATAATTCAGATTATCTGCTTTGAACTGGATTATATGGCAATGTGGACTCAGATAACCCAATTCAAAGCAGATATTGTGGGATTTTCTGCCTTGATATTCTGGATTATATGGCTGTGTGGAAGGGACCTGAGGCTCCTTCTACACTGCCATATGATAATCCAGATTATCTGCTTTGAACTGGATTATATTGCAGTTTAGAGTCATATAATCCAGTTCAAAGCAGGTAATCTGGATTATCTGCTTTGGTTATAGGCAGTGTAGAAGGGGCCTAAGGAAGAGGAAAATCAAAAACCTATCAAGGGAGGCAATGAGAGTGTTTTCTCCTGCTGCTCATTGTGAAATGCAAAGGAGGGGACGAAAACTGTCAAAAGATCACAATTGGGAGGGGAAAATTATTTTTTCTTCAAGGAATTCTGCCCTTCTGTGAACTTTTTCCCCACTCCCTTAATTCCTAGCATTGTAGGAACTTACCACTTCACTTGATCATTTATAAGCATGGGTTTAAGCAGTCAGAGAAAAAGGGACAGGGAAAGGTATCCAAGGGAAGGGGAACACAGCAAATATAAGTGGCAGGGGTGTGAACTTTTTTCACTGGCTCCCTCTCTGCAGTGGCTGGAAATGTGGGCAAGTCCAGCCTCATCTATCCAGGAACAAACCCTAGAGTAACTCTAAGTTTGTGTTGTGCACAAAACTTTTTGATGATGGCATCATGACGGTCTTCCGATGCCAAAGTTGATCTCCCTGGGGTGCATCTACACCAGGCATGGGCAAACTACATGCTCTACAGTACACTGTAGAATAAATGCAGTGGATTAAAGTAAGTTTTCCAGGCTGTGTGGCCTTGTTCCAGAAGCATTCCCTCCTGATGTTTCAACCACATTATAGCAGGTATCCTCAGATGTTGTGAGGTCTGTTGGAAATTAGGCAAGTGTGGTTTATGTATCTGTGGAATGTCCAGGGTGGGAGAAAGAACTCTGACAGGAAACAACCAGGGCCAGCTAACACCTCCCAACAAAGGATTTCCCCAGACAATAACCAGCCAGGCTTTGAAGCTGCAAGGCCAGTCAATGCTAATCAAGGTGGTCACTTGCAACACTCACTCTTGCAGAAAAGATGTTCACCATAGATGTGGGTGAAACGTCAGGAGAGAATGCTTCTGGAACATGGCCATGCAGCCTGGAAAACTCAAAGCAACCCAGTGATTCTGGCCATGAAAGCCTTTGACAACATATAGAATAAATGCTGTTTGACCCTACTTTAACTGTTGTGGCTCAATGCTATGGATTCATTGGGGTTGCACTTTGGTGAGGCACCAGTAATCTCTGGTAGAGAAGGCTAAAGACTTTGGATCCTTCCACACAGCCCTATATCCCAGAATATCAAGGCAGAAAATCCCACATTATCTGAGTGTGGATTTAGATAACCCAGTTCAAAGCCTGTGGGAACGAGGAAAAGAGCCTTCTCTGCTGTGGCTCCCCAGCTCTGGAACTCGCTACCTAGTGAGATGAGGCAAGCCCCCACCCTAGCAGCCTTTAAGAAAGATCTAAAAACTTGACTTCTGATGTGCCTTTGGAGAGTGACCATTCAACCCATTTTGTTTGTTTCCATCTACAGTTGTCCTCATGATGCACTTTCCCCTGTCCTTAATAAAGGCCAAACCCCACGGCTCCCCCTTCTTGGCCTCCTCCTTTATAAATACACTCTTTTATACACTCTTTTATTCCCATCTCATCCACGGTTTTAACATTTTAGCTTGTGCATTTGGCCCGCCCTTTGTGTTTGGTTTTTTATTATGTTATCTTGCACTGTTTATTTTATTCTGTTACTGTATGTATTCTGTAAAAAAACCAAGATTATGGCAACAAGAATGATTGACAACTGGAAAATAGAGGGAGAAACCGTGGAGGCCGTATTTCTAGGTGCAAAGATTACTGCAGATGCAGACTGTAGCCAGGAAATCAGAAGACGCTTACTTCTTGGGAGGAGAGCAATGTCCAGTCTCGATAAAATAGTGAAGAGTAGAGACATCAGACTGGCAACAAAGATCTGCCTAGTCAAAGCCATGGTATTCCCTGTAGTCACCTACGGATGTGAGAGCTGGACCTTAGGGAAGGCTGAGCGAAGGAAGATCGATGCTTTTGAGCTGTGGTGTTGGAGGAAAGTTCTGAGAGTGCCTTGGACTGCGATAAGATCCAACCAGTCCATCCTCCAGGAAATAAAGCCCGACTGCTCACTGGAGGGAAGGATACTAGAGACAAAGTTGAAGTACTTTGGCCACATCATGAGGAGACAGGAAAGCCTAGAGAAGACAATTATGATGGGGAAAGTGGAAGGTAAAAGGAAGAGGGGCCGACCAAGGGCAAGATGGATGGATGGCATCCTTGAAGTGACTGGACTGACCTTGAGGGAGCTGGGGGTGGTACTGGCCGACAGGGAGCTCTGGCGTGGGCTGGTCCATGAGGTCACGAAGAGTCGGAGACGACTGAACGAATGAACAACAACATGTATTCTGTTGTTTTATTTTGTTTCTATTTTGCTTTATTATTATTTATTTTGCTTATTATCCCTTTGGGGAGATGGTAGCAGGGTATAAATATATTTTTTTTAAAAAGCAGATATTGTGGGATGTTCTGCCTTGAAATTCTGGGATATAGGGTTGTGTGGAAGGGCCCTTTCTCAAACTTCAGCCTTCATAGAATCATAGAATCAGAGTTGGAAGAGACCTCATGGGCCATCCAGTCCAACCCCCTGCCAAGAAGCAGGAATATTGCATTCAAAGCACCCCCGACAGATGGCCATCCTGCCTCTGTTTAAAAGCTTCATAGAACTGACTGAGCCATTGCAGTTCAAGCAGTGTCCCCAGTTGCATTAATTCTGCAGTGTAGCAACTCACACGAATGTGGAAAGACTTTAAGCCTCACCCTTTCCACTCTTAGGGTTTTGGGGATGCATGTACACCAGCCTGGGCAAATGTGGGCCTTCCAGAAGTTTTGGACTTCAACTCCCACTATTCCTAACAGCCTCGGGATCTTTTCTTTTCCTTAATCCTAACCCTAACCCTCTCCCGTCCCCCTCTCACCCGCACAAAGACCACGATGGCCTTCTGGTCGTGGAAAAGGGACCCGAAAGGGATCTTCTTCCCGGCCGCATCCAGGAGCGGAGACTGGGCGGCCTCCCGAAAGAGGAGGGCGGCTTCTCTCGGCGGAGGAGGCTGGGGAAAGGCTCCGGTCCCGATCTGCCGGGTGACGGGGGTCTCTGCCATGCTGGGCACGGCAGGTCGGCTCTGCTGGATTTTGGTAAACAAAGAGCTGCCTGGCCAGGAAGCGGCCCTTTCCTGTTTCACTTTGGCCTGCGAGGGAATGGCAGCCGGGAAACCTGGCACCCAAACGCCCTGGCTCAGCAGCCTCCGCCCAACTGGTGACGACTCAAACAGCCGATCCTGGACTCTTTTTTGGGGACTGAGAGCTTATGGCTCAACCAGGGTCGCGCAGGTCCCCATCTGCACGGTAGAATTAATGTGGTTTGACAGCACTTGAATCACCATGGCTCAGGGTGCATCAATTAGAGATCCCCCTTGAACTGCCATGGCTCAATGCTAGGAAATCATGGACGTTGCAGTTTCCCAAGGTCTTTAATACTTTAGAATGAATGCAGTTTGAGACCTTTTGAACCCGTTACGCCAAGTATGCATTTGCAGTATAGTTGATTTTGCCCAGGGGCGCTCTTGAGGCGCTCTTGGGGGAAAATAGACCTTGATATATGCGAGTTGTAGTTACTGGGATGTATAGTTCACCTAAAATCAAAGAGCATTCTGAACTCCACCAATGATGGAATTGAACCAAATATGGCACACAGAACTCCCATGACGAACAGAAAATATATATCAGTGATTGGTTTGGGGGGGGGGGGGATACTGTTTGCTTACCATTGAAAATTACCTAGGGCCACCTCTGGGTAAACGACAACTCCCTAACCTTCCCGCTGGTACCTATTGATCTACTCACATTTGCATGTTTTCGAACTGCTAGGTTGGCAGAAGCTAGGGCTGACAGTGGAAGCTCACGCCGCTCCCCGGAATCGAACCTGCAACCTTCCAGTCAACAAGCTCAGCAGCTCAGCGCTTTAACCCACTGCGCCAGCATTGTAGTTTTAGAAGGTCCTTAATACGAGGGTTGTTACTTGGGTTTGGATGGGAATATTTTAATAAATCAAATGCAGAAATAATCCTTAGAATGGGCTCTTTAACTACCACTATTCACTTTTCCACATAATCGCCGGACAATTGGATACATTTCTGCCAACAATGAACAAGTTTTCTGAAACCGTCACGGAAGAAGTCGACACTCTCTTTCCACAACCAACATCTCACAGTTCTCTCAACAACTTCATCAGAAGCATAATGATGTCCCCACAGATCTTCTTTCATAATCAGGAACAGGTGGAAGTCAGACGGTGCTAAATCTGGACTGCATGGAGGATGCCTTACAGTGAGATCTAGTCTCTGTCAATCTGTCAACCTTTTGCTTGCAAAACTCTATGGTTGCTGTAACAGGACATCTAACTCTTTGTTTGCCATGCAGGTCAGATGTTCCCACCTCGACATCTTTAAACTTACTTGCCCAACGACGCACAGTACTCACATCAACACAATCACCATAAACAGCTTTCATTCTCTGATGAATCTCCTTTGGGGCGACATCTTCTGCTATGAAGAATTCAATGACTGCACATTGCTTAAGTCCCATTGACTGACCATCTGCGCAGGGTTCCATACTTTGCACTTTAACAACACAACCATTCAATGTTAAGGCTTCCTGCCAAAATGGAACTGTAGAAGAGAGTCTACTGAACAAGCCAGTACCTGCCGCATACCAGTACTGCCATCTGTTGAGGAGTTACGAAGGTGGGGGCATTACTTTTCATTCAAGTCTTGTCTATTGTCAAAGGCTTTCATTGTCGGAATCACTGAGTTTTTGTGAGCTTTCCAGGCTGTACAGCCATATTCCAGAAGCATTCTCTCCTGATGTTTCACCTGCATCTATGGTAGGCATCCTCAGAGGTTGAGAGGTCTATTGGAAACAAGGCAAGTGGGGTTTATATATCTGTGGAATGTCCCGGGTGGGAGAAAGAACTCTTGTCTGTTGGAGGTAGGTGTGAATGTTTCAATTGGCCACCTTGAACTTAATGGCTTAGCAATTTTAAGGTCTGGCTTCTTACTGCCTGGGGGAATCCTTTGTTGGGAGGAAACCTACACACACAGATACCTACATAAAAACTCCAACCATCACCCAAGTCAAAATAAGAAGCACAATTAAAGCCCTGGCAGATGTGCAAAAAGGATCTGTCAATGTGCCCAAAATAACTGCAAGGTGAGACTGAGCCACGCTAAACTTGGGGCTCTTATCGGTGCCGAGTGGCTACTTCATCCACAACAATGAATTAGCTGTAAGGAGACAAGTGTTCGGCTGGGTTGCATGGGGCTGTGTGGAAGGCGCGTCGTCTTATATTCCCATGTAGCCATGTTCGCACGGTTTTCTGCTTTAAACTGAATTGAAGGGTGCCCACTGCCAGATAATCTGAGATAAACAGACAACCTGGGATCAGATCCTGGGGAAAAGGCCTGTTTGGAAGGGCCCTAAGAATCTCTTGGCTTTCCAGCTTGGCTGTAAGGGTAACTTCCATCATATGTTAGCCATAGATTCTCACTGGAGTGCATTGATATTTCAAGGGCCCTTCCACACAGCCATATCAAGGCAGAAAATCCCACAATATCTACTTTGAATTAGATTATCTGAGTCCACACTGTTATATATTCCAGTTCAAAGCAGAAAATGTGGGATTTTATTCAGCTGTGTGGAACGGGCCCTTAGAGAGGGGTGCTCTCAGATATAAAATAATCACATTATTTGCAGTTTTTCACTGTATGATATGACTATATGATCAATTTCAGGTGGAAATAAACTGCATTATATGGCAGTGTAGATGGGGCCAAAGATGTATGTTCATGCATCATATTGATCACATTTTCATTTTTCCCTGAAAGGGCATAATGTTATCTTAAAATTGCCTAATATTTGAAGAAGTCATTGTAAAGGATCATTATCTTATGCTTTAATATATAGTTCATTTTAAATTTATTTTCAAAAACAGCTGTTCCTTGTTCTAAATATTTGGCATGAGCTAGGCTAAAATCTTAAGTAATTAATAGGCATCTACCACAAAAAAGGAGGGAGGAGGAATGGAGATTTATATTGCAGATCTTGCACATGTCTAGTCAAAAGTAAGGCCCAGTCAATTCAAATGGGCCTAATGGCAGGTAACTGCATATAGGATTGAAGTCTTAGTTCCTGGAGGCAGAAAGGTGGGAAATGTCATTCAAATGATGGATGCTTTTATAATGCAATGAGATGTTGCTCCAATTATTCTCAGCATCCATAAATGGCTGGAGGACATGGAAAACATTCTGCGCCATGCAATTTTGCTAACTGACCACTTGGTGTCAGAGATGTATTGTACTCTTGTTGCTCATTGCTGGGCAAGCAGACCTTCTAAAATCAGAATTAATGTCTGTTGTATCAATGGCTTTCACATTTTTTAAAAAGATGGTTTTGCTAACACAGTGCCTTATCATTTTTATTCTGATTTCCATTCTCTGCGACACGTCCTGCATGCCTCATCAGTTTCCATCTCTTTCTCACACCTTCCTTTTTCTTTATCTATATATCCCCTGAATGCTAAAACAATATGAACTATGCATCATGTGACAAGAAGAGTTAATAAAAGATGTACTTGCTTTCCCTGGGGATGTTATTTCTGTTTCTAATTAGGCCTCTCTTGGAAGGGGGGATTCATCCATCAAAACAACTTTCAGATAGAAAAGGTGGTTTTTCTGCTGAAATGGTAGCTCCCATCATGAGGGGATTGCTTTTGACTGCATTTCACATTTAGACAAATCAAGATTTCTAGTCAGCAAACTGAAACAGAAACATTTTGTAAAGTTTCCTGGCAAGGAAAAAAAATATTGGTTTAGGAATGGAAATAAAATCTGAATTTTAGAACCCAAGTGGGCTTACAACAATGATTCAAGATTAGGCCTCTAGGGTGCAAATCCAAATCACTATACATTGTTGGTCTCTCTCAGGGTCCTTCCACCCAGCCATATAATCAGAATATCAAGGCAGATAATCATAGAATCATAGAGTTGGAAGAGACCTCATGGGCCATCCAGCCCAACTCCTTGCCAAGAAGCAGGAAAATCACATTGAAAACACCCCCAACAGATGGCCATCCAGCCTCAGCTTAAAAGCCTCCAAAGAAGGATTCTCCACCACACCCTGGGGCAGAGAGTTCCACTGCTGAACAGCTCTCATAGTTAGGAAGTTATTCATAATGTTCAGGTGGAATCACCTTTCCTGTAGTTTGAAGCCATTGTTCCATATCCTGGTCTCCAGGATAGCAGAAAACAAGCTTGCTCCCTCCTCCCTATGACTTCCCCTCACATATTAATACATGGCCCTCAGCTCCTCTCGGCCTTCTCTTCTGCAAGCTAAACATGTCCAGCTCTTTAAGCTGCTCCTCATAGGGCTTTGATCATTTTAGTTGCCCTCCTCTGGACACATTCCAACTCATCAACATCTCCCTTCAATAGCGGTGCCCAGAATTAGACGCAGTGTGATTTCAGGTGTGGTCTGACCAAGGCAGAATAGAGGGATAGCATGACTTCCCTGGATCTAGACACTAGACTCCTATTTATGCAGGCCAAAATCCCATTGGCTTTTTTTGCCACCACATGACATCGTTGGCTCATGTTTAACATGTTGTCCACAAGGACAGCTGAATAAAATCCCACAATATCTGCTTTGAACTGGGTTATTTGAGTCTACACTGCCATATATTCCAGTTCAAAGCAGATTATGTGAGAATTTATTCAGCTGTGTGGAAGGGGCCTGATACTGCAGAGAATTTATATCTATATGACAAGTAGTCTCATCATCCATGATTTTGTCCAATCTTCTTTTATCCATATTGGCCACTGACACTAATCATGAATGAAAAACATATTTGAATCTTTGAAACTTTCACCGTTTAGCTACATAGGATTTCCATGTGACTTAACAGCTAATAATCAAATTGCCATGAGAAGCACTGGACTTCTCTATATCTATGGCAGCCTTGATCCATGTGTCAGAGCCCTTGTGTTTGGAGTGCAGTGCTGAGCACGGACCCATGGAGTCACAAGTAGCATTCCTGGCCCATCAATTACCATTTGCACTAACGACAATGGTTTATTTTTTTCTGCAAATAAGACAACCTCCTATTGTTCCAAGCTTAGATCAACTAAAGGGGCTAACTGAAGACAAGCACCTAGTTGCAAGTGATGGCTGTACTTTTATTAGTAACTTACACAAAATCAA